GACAATTATATATATATATATATATATATATATATATATATACATATACATACACACACACACACACAGATAAGGATACCGAAATGTTGTGCATTCCTACCAAAAGCAAGCCTTAATATCTTATGCAATATTTCTTCTTGTTTTAAGGTAATTTAGACTTTCTCCAGGAAATAAGGCAAAGAAACATATTAATAGTAGAATTTTTTTTAAGTGATCTTTGTTCTCTCACCTCTAGTAAACTATCCCCCACCAGAGCGACCAGCAGAGGGTGTCCCCCGCGCTGACGGACCATCGCTGCGTTCTCAGAGGCGTACATGCAGGTAAAGTCAAACATAGCCACATCTGGCTGCCCATAGTGGTTGATGGCAAAGTTCAGCATAGGGAGCTGATGGTTGGTGGAGAAATCAGCTGCTTCACGGGCGTATAAGAGCAGTGCATTCTGGTCCACGTTATTCCTGGACAGTAGCATCTCAGTGTCAGCATAATCCTGCAAAAAATACACAAGCGAATAGTCACTCAAAAAAGCAATGAGTATGAAATGTAGATTTATGCACACAACATTAGACTCACGCGCAGAATGACTCCTTTCTCCAGAAGACTTTGTTTTTTGGCGGTCATTACAAAGTAATGAGTGTCATCTTTGTAATATACTATATTCTCTAGATCAATTCCTGCACAGAAAGGATGTTGACTGAAACTCATTATTGTTTACATAATCGTAAACACATTAACAAATGATAACTCATTCATATTTGAGAAGACAAAGGTGCTTAACTATACAAAAATGTATATTAGTTGCTTAAAATATATTTGAGTGCAATACATGAGCTTTTGGTATCTTTAAAGTGTAGTGATGTTTTAGTTACAATGAAATAATTGAGTACCGGTAGCCTGCCGGAGGTCCTGGAAAAACCTCTGGTTGAAGATAAAGGCAACACCGCTGATCTCCTCCACTTTAGCCTCGGCGGTGGTGTTGCGATTGATGAAATTCGCCGTGATGGCAATGGCCAGTTTCCCCCGAAACTCCTTCCTGTGAAACCCTAACAGACCCAGACAAATAAAACCATCATAAAGAGGCTTTGAAACCCAGAAAATGAATTAGTGACGTCTAAAACAGGGTAAAATTAGAATAGGGGAACTGTCTGTTATAGATGACGGTGAAGCATGTGATATGCTTCTTGCCACAGTTAGTCACTTTTCAAGCATTTGATGTTCTTCAGTTGATGATGACATTGCACAAGATATATATTTTTTTACTTCAGTATTTCAGTCCTTCAATAACTGTTATGTGTCTTTATATTATATTTTGACATCACAGTCATGATAACAAGAGACATTGAAAATAGCTTTTCATTCTAGTATTACACAATATATTTTCCTTAATATATTCCTTAATGTTATTTCTGGATGCCGATATCTGGCCGATAAATCACAAATACATCATATATTATCTCATTCAACAGTGTAGGTACGTTTCTAAAGGGGTCATATGATGCGATTTCAATTTTTCCTTTCTCTTTGGAGTGTTACAAGCTCTTGGTGCATAAAGAAGATCTGTAAAGTTGCAAAGACTAAAGTCTCAAATCCAAAGAGATATTCTTTATAAAATTTAAGAGTCAGCCACACCTACCTAAAACGGCTCATTCTAACACGCCCCCACATGTCTACCTCACGATGTGGGAAGATTTGCATAACGCCGCCAAATTTTGTTCATGATAAATGTTCACGCAAAGAAAGAAGGCGTAACTTTTAGTCTCACTGGCTACAAATATCCCACGGCGTCATGATGAAAATGCAATCCTAAGTGTTCTAACTGTTAGTCTAAATGCATTTAGGACAAATAGCATTTAAATGATCATTATGCTACCATTTCTGCTTGGACATGTTACACATATCAAATCAATTTGTGTTATACATTTTCATTTTCATTTCGCAACTTATAAAGCATTCAAATTTGCATGCAATTTACATATTAAGACTACTTTTGGAAATGGCAAATGTAAATTATATAATTTAATTTTCATTTTACTTTTGCACCAAACTTTGCACGTATGGGTAATGGAAAATGTAAATTTAAATACAGAAATACAATGCCATTTTGAATATTGCGTTGCCATTTTGAATATTGCATTGCCATTTTGCATATTGCATTTTAAATTGAATTTCGCTACCTACATGCTTCCATAACTCACAGCCTGTGAAAGTGCGTTTTCATATTTAAAGAATTTGCCACTGATGATTCAAACGCAAGTTTTGAGCAGTGTAGAGTAGCGCTTGTTGTTTGTCGTTTCTCCAATCACAAATGCAGACATGGTTTTATGTTTACGCAGCGCGATACGCAACACAATGCGTAAAAAGACAGTATAAGTCATTATAATCCGTAATTATGTCCCCACTGGATGCAACAAATGCCTCGTTTATGAAATAGGTTTTATTGTTTTTGTCTCGTCGCTCCGGCCGGACAGGGCATCACAGTATGGTAAGGGGCATAATATTTCCGTCACACGCTTGAGGTATTCAGCCAATCACAACGCACTGGATAGCTGGCCAATCACAGCACACCTCGCTTTTCAGACCGATGAGCTTTGTAAAAATCGACGCGTTTCAGAAAGGCAGGGCATAGAGGAGAAACAATAATGTTGTTTTAACCTTAAAGCGCATAAACACATTGCATTACACCAAATACACCAAATAATGATCTTTTTAGCAACATCATATGACCCCTTTAAGATCTATTTGAACTTTTCTCTAGTCTGTACAACATCTTTTACATTTCTTTAAGTCTAAAGCAGTAGGTTTTTTTTAGCTTGTGCCACTAATAACCACAATATGAGTGGCGTCATTTCCTATTTCCAAACAAATTAGAGAACAAATTGTTCACAACACATTTTTGGGTTTTGGCGTATGTGTGAGAGAGAGAGAGAGAGAGAGAGAGAAAAAAAAAAGGAAGTCCATTGAAAATGAGCAGGGAACTGGGGAACTAAAGTTACGAAATGGTGTGAAACCAGGAAGACATATTCATATTAACCACCGACTGAAGCATTTGTTTGATGCATTTCTGATTGGATAAACTTTTATCACAACAGGCCTGAGACCGAGGTGTTTTGCAGATACCTGGTAAGGTGTTTCTTCTACCATCTGCCCCAATAACCACATCAAACTCCAGCTGACTAACTGGATGAGAGTTGGGGTGGACTTCTGCTCGCCAACCAACACCTGAACAGGACAAATGGGAAAATCAATAAAAAAAAATCAGTTACGTTGGCAGTTAAAATTAGGGTGAAAGTGTATTCAATTATGTTCTCACGTTTCTCTTGGTCCTCTGGAGGTTCCACTAGATGTTTGAACTCCACATTCACATGAATCTCAACGCCAAGTAACAAGGCCACCTTCAGAAGCATCAGCTGCAACTGACGAATACCTGCACAGACATAGATGTTGATAAACCATTCAAAACAATTTTACTCTCGAAATGTAATGTTAACAGGTAAAACAGAATAAATAATGAGAAAAAGGTAGGTAAATAGTATGAATAGACTACAAATCAACACAATCAGAGCCAACAAATGATAATATCAAATGCTTTCAGAAAGCACTACTAAAATTGTGTTGTTAATCATTGTCTTCATTACGAAATAATAATAATAATAATAGACAAAGCATCCTTAAAATAGGATTAAACTGATAAATTGCATTGTATATTATTAACTAGTTTTCAAAGTATATTTTATATTTGTAGACTTTTCATCATAAAACTCACAAAAATTAATTATGACATAAATGAGTAAAATTAATAATTAAATGATAGAAAGTGCCATGTCTTTAGTCTAAATACAGTAAATTGATAATAAATTATTTTAAATACTACAAATATTTAGGCAACACAACATGATAAAATATACAAAATATAAATGATACATTTTATATAAATCTACTTATTAAATATTTCATGCTTTTTTTTATTAAATGGTAAATAAAGTAAATTGTAGATGAAAAACGGAGAAAATGCACATTTCATATAAATATCAAATTTGAACCAATACTGATAAATAATAAAAATTAAAAAAAACTATAACAAGGCCACTTTAAAAGCAAATAAATAATTTAATTAATTAATACAAAATAAAAAAAAATATTTAAAAATATTATTGGGGAAAAAGTAGGTTGGGACTTTTATTCTCTGGAAATTGATTGTGAAAAGTGGGCGTTAACCAATAGCCTGAGTGGCCTAGATGATGTCACCTGGAAAGGAAGTTGTTTCAGAAGTGGAGCAAGCTTTTTATCTTTGGAATAATTTGCACTGATAAACTGTGTGCAATAAAACCACAAATGTGTATTCAACTGAGTTCTGAGTTCAAGTTCACATTAACTCACTGATATGGTCTATGGCTCCAGCACAGAACTTCCCGTAGAACTTTTTGGCCCCCAAACCACGGAGGTCCTGGATGGTGAATGGCCAAAGGTGAAGAACATTGTTCCGTGAGAAAGCATCTCGCTTTTCCACCAGAACCACCCTGGCGCCCAGAAATCGCAGCTCTATAGCTGTCCGCAATCCACACGGACCTGCACCTATGATCAGACACTGAACACACAACAAAAACCTGCATGTGAAACAGTTTTCAGCACACTAGTGAAGAGAACTCTCTCTTGCAATGCACTTGAGGTGACTCTTTGTACCGTGGTGCTGGTGCAAGCATGGCCTCTCATGTATTCTCTCTGGCTGGCTCTTTTATCCAGTTTGGCCCATAGTGCTTTGGCCTTCCAGTAGTGCAGTCTGCTCCTCAGGGTGTGGTAGAACTGCGGTTGACCACCGGGATGCAGCTTCAGCTCTTCACACAGCTCCTGGAAGGCCCTGAGGGTCTCCTTGCATGTGGCGGCTTGAACAAAGGCATCGAACAGGGCGTGCACATGACACGTTTTTGACTGTCCGTCCCACATATTTGCTCCTCAAACGACCCCGATGACCCGCACAGGAGTCAGCTCACCTCCAGAAGGCACCAGACACAGGACATCTGAGGAAGAGAAATTATTTCTGGTGACTGCAGGCTGATTTTGGAAACATGGGGAAGAGATGAACATGGAATAGGGAACAGAGAAAGCAATCCGCATAGATAGGCTGTGAAGCAGATTTTTTTGTGAAGTCAGCAAAAGTGCTGCCACATTCTTATTCCTCGCTATCCACCTTCACATCATGTTCCACTCAGACACACGTCTCTCATTAACTCCTCAACTCAATGACACTCAATGTGTCACTGCTTATATAACAGATATTATATATGAGAGCCATTTTATTGACACAAATATATATTTATATTGAGATTAAATTAATTGAATTGCCTTGGACTCTGGTGTTGCACACATACACACATCACTTTTCTACAAATTATTATTAGTGCAATAAATAATTTGTGATATTTAGTATAATAAAGTATTTGTAATCTTATTTAGTATATTAATAAATAAACTATATTGTTATAATTAGTGAATATACTACAGATATAAAGTTCAGCGCGAATAATTAGTTGATACTTGGACATTTTGAGATCATTATTAGTGTCATTTCCACACAAAAAAAGCATTGGTGAATTGATAATGCAAAATCTCTGTTTTAATATTTTTTTTTCTTCAATTTTTTAATAAATAAATAAACAAAAAAGGAGATAAATAAAAACAATAAAATCATGTTTCATTTCACCAATTTTGTAAATCTCATTACCTTATATTGTATTATCTGAATGTATGTTTATCTGTATTATATCAAGCATAGATAACTATAGATACTGTGTGTGTGTGTGTGTGTGTGTGTGTGTAAACAGGTACAGACAGGTAACAAACAGGTAAACAAAATGTGTTTGCAGTAGTCTGTGGTTCCTGCACTGGCTCCAGTGATCATTCCGATTGGCTGTTGAGTAAAAGGGGTGGGGATTAAAGTGCTCCATAGAGTCAGCAATAAACACCAGACAGTAAAGCACTTCATTACGCACATTACAAAAGATTACAGTAACTGCACTGACTCAATTCATTCAGGCCTATTACTCAGCCGTGCAATTCAGCCTGGATGAAAGTTTGACCTCTCAGCGCCCACATAAGAATGAGTCATTATATGAGCTTGCAGATGATGCCTGATTTGATATCTCATGATTATATACAATGATAAGGAGACTATTTAAGCGTGATTTTGGTGTCCAAATCCTTTTAATGGCGGATTTTTTCACTCTCTTGCACCTACTTGTCTTTTAAATTAATGACAGAATAATCTGTGCGTTGTCTTTAAGAAAGAATATGATACAGCAAGTGTACTTAGATTATTTAAATGCACTAAAGCAGATACTGACATAGTGTCTAAAAAAGGAGCCCATTAGAGACAGGGTCAGCCTGGTATTAAATCTTGGGAATGCTACCCACTGGGAGAAAGAGGGGGATTATGGGTGAGACAAGGTGACTGTCAAACTAATCTTTCTCTTATCTTGATGAAATGAAAAGTCTGTCATCAAAACTGAATGGTGACCAGGAGCTGTCAAGTTCCCAAAATAACAAAAAACACCATAAAAGGATCATAAACATATATTCTAATCTTCCTCACAACTCATTTGCCACACCAGGACATGTCACACCAGGTTTGACATCAATAATGCAAAAAAGTTTTTATAATTATATGTTCTTGTTACTCATAACTGCTTGTGACCACGTCTCAATATGCACACAAATTAAACCGTAAAAATGTGAACATTTTGAGAGTCTAGAGGTAAAAAAACGTCACTTAAATTTCAGTCTGTTCCTCACATAAAGCTATTTTTGACTTTGGATGACACACAAGTCATATGGACCACTTTTACAGTACTATTTTTCATTTTTGTAGTTTGACTGACCCCATTCACTTGCATTGCACAGAAAAGAACAGCATGAACATTCTGCTAAACATCTCCTTTTCTGCTCTGTGGAATATATTTTTCATTTTTGTAGTTTGACTGACCCCATTCACTTGCATTGTACAGAAAAGAACAGCATGAACATTCTGCTAAACATCTCCTTTTCTGCTCTGTGGAATAAAAAAAAATTAAACAGGTTTGAAGGTGAGTAAATTATGAAAGAATTTTAATTTCTGCATGATCTACTCCTTTAAGCAAAGAATATGCTCACAAGCAGTTCATGGAAACTGTGCATAAGAAGAAGAACAACAAGAAGTTACTCTCAAAACGAAAACTCCCCATTTTATTGGAGGTCATTGACACATGATTCTCATGCCCACTGTAAATGGAGGGCAAAACCCTGAAGTATCATCATAAAAATAAATGACCTGTATTAATATCCTTATTCCCCTCTCTCTCCTCTCAAATGTCTCAGTGATTGACTGCTGTGCCGTTTGAGAGCAGAGGATTACAGAACGCAAGGCAAGTGCTGCAGAAAGAGGATCGATCAGATTTTCCTCTAGTCAGCCATTCAGACATTGATTACACTGTGAAACTACTGTATATAGGCATTTGCACATATTCATGAAACTATACAGTCATTCATTGAGTATATAGTCAAAGTGTTTCTATGAAAGCATGCACCAAGAATGACAATCCAACAGCTGCAGTCATATGCTTTTTCAGCTCTTTCCACATCCTATCGAGCATCTGAACTAATGTAGGTTTCTTCAGATCCTGTCACTAAGCATCAACATTGCTGCACTGGACTGACACATGCACACACACACAAATACATTCAATGCAAGTGAGATTTACCGTGCTGCTTCTCTGCGGTGTGCACATGCTGCAGACATGCTTTCCTTCCTCGTCTCTCGCTCCGTTTTTCTCTGGCAAGTTCCCAAGTGGATCTAGAGCTGTTGGTGCCACATTAACTCTGGTATCATATACACAGCTGCAGTGCAGGAATTAGCTCCACCGCTTCACACACACACACACTCTGTCCTCTTTCTCTCTCCATCTCTCTGTAGCCAAGGTCAGAGGAAGGAGCTACCAGGCACACGCTGACTCCTCCTCTACACAAACGCTTTCAAACAGGCAACAAACACAAACATTGTCTTTCAGGACACATTCTATATCACGTAAACCCTGTAGATGATTCGCATATTGCAGGCAGTGCATGTTAATCGTACAGATTCATTATTCAGTATTGCGGCAGAGCTGTTGGTGGTTGGTGTTGGAGTGTTATAGAAAGCAGCCCTAAATCTAATCTGATTTACCCCGGGATGGAGACTTCTTAAAGAGATTACAGACAGAGCACAAAAGAGGGAGGGTAAGAGAAGAGTGGTGGAGGAAAGACAGATCTGGAGAGCCTGTAACACTTTTGACACACTTCTTTATCCCTACTGAACACAAACGTAATGTCTAATGTCTCCCTCAAGTGGTTGTTATTGTTTAGATTAAAGACCCTAGAAATTCATAATTTTAGTGGTTCATTCAGAAATTCATTGGTCTGTTTGAGGGCTAATTGAAGGCCATCCCTGAAGAAACAACAGGGAATGGTTTTCTCCAAGAAGAGCACGAGGGCCCTTCGATCCTTGACCACAAAATCAGTCTTAAGTCGCTGGGGTATATTTGTAGCAATAAACTTTAAAGGCGATTTTCTCAGTATTTAGATTTTTTTGCACCCTCAGATTCCAGATATTCAAATTTTCAGATGATGTATAAATCTCAATTTTGAAAAATTGACACTTAAGACTGGTTTTGTGGTCCAGGGTCACATATAAATAACAGGGAGTGTTCTTGTCGTCAACTAAATTAGGCATGAAAATGGTCATTAACATGACGAGAATTAAATCTTAATTAATACAGTTGACGAAATGACGAGGGAAAACAGCGTACGATATTAAAATACACAGGCAGCTGAATCACTCTGTTAACAGGTTAGTTAACTCACCCAAACGCAACCTATATGAGATTAATCAGAAATATTACAACTTGTATCGGCGAATATGAGGTGAATGCAAACATTGTAACATTGCAACATTGTATTTTAATAGTTTACTGATTACAATGTTATTGCAGGAGTTTAGGTTTCTACATGGACAGTTTTGGTTTTGTTATAATTATGCTGATAATGCTGCTTATATATTTATATGCTTATATAATGTTTGAATATTTGGTTTAATTTTTCTTCTCAACTAAAATGCTGTTTTACGCAACGAAAATGAATGGCATTTTAGTAAAACTGTCTAAAAGTAATGCAATATTGACTAAATATAAAGGATATTCTTGTCAAAAGGCAAAAACTATGACTAAAACAAAACCCTCTGCAAAATGTTAACAAAACAAAATTTAAGCAGATTCCTTACACTTTTGGAAAAATGGACTAAAAATATTGATGACTAATCTTGTTCATAAGAGCATATAGAAAGTTTTGTTCAATAAACTGCTCAGTAGCATAAGCTCGCCCCCTCTTTCAATACCTGCCACTGACTAAAGCAAGTAGTAAATTGTGGTTTTGCCGGGCTTTGATGTATCCTTTTCCAACTTCCTGTTAAAATAGGAAATATGTCAAAACAGGAAAAAGGGTTTGAACAGATTTTGCATAATTATTTATGAAGAACCCAACACATGCAACATTAAAATTCATAGAAAATTGTTCCAGCTTTAATATGAGATCATGTTTTGTTACAAAAGTGCAATTGTCCTTCATTTCCATTTGGCATATTTCAGGCATCTTGCTGGAATAGAGGGACAAAACAAAATGGCAAGTTGTTAAACTGTCTCAATTTGACCTCAGTGAAAATCTGTTTTGAGAACTGTGGGAGGAAATGTGAAGATGCTTACTAGTAATGCACGTCCTCTGGTCTCAATGGGCAAAAATGCCACTCCCACCGCACAAATCACACACGTTATGGCGAACGGTGACAGGGCCAGAATCACAGACTTAGACATCAACACCTATGACACATGCAAACACTGTGTTATCTTTATGTATGTAAATCAAATGTGTTAAGCACACATTTGAGCATAGATATTTATGTACACAGACACTCATGCAAAGTCAAACACATAGAGCACCTGTGCTATAAAAGGTGCAATCATTCCCCCAACTCGACTGAAGGATGTGCAAAAGCCCATTCCAATTGAGCGCACAGATGTAGGATAAACCTGTGTAAACACAAACCAATCATAACAATTTTCATTTTGTGGTGAGCTCTTCCTTAAAGAGTAAGTGGAGTGTTCATATGTTGGGTCTCACCTCTGCTGTGTAAATATAGACCACATTAAAATTCATGGAAACCACAGAGCGGAGAAGGAAGAGCAGTACAGTGAAACCAAACCTGCACAGGGAGAGACACATTATTCAGTTTTCTACTTCAGATGCACTTCTAACTTATGGTCACAAGAGGGCCACAAAAATGTTTGAACACCCCCATCGTGAGTAAATGGCAAATGCATAATAGCATACTACCATACTACTTTTATTATATCTACAGTATAGTTTATGTACACTGTTTAAAATATGCATACAATGTGTGAAACTATTTTTATTTTTTAAGGACACATAAAAAATGTGTCCTTAAAATCTAACGTCATCTAGACGTACACAACACTGGGTTTTTGTATTGAACACAATGAATGGTAACACTACTAGCATCTACACGAAACATATGGTAGTATAATTAATTACTATAGCAATAATAAAAGCAGTATGTTCTTACAAGCAGGTACACAATATAATTCAACATTAGGTGCACATACTTCATTAGAATTTCATACATACACAGTAAAATAAATCAATAAAAAACAGTCTATTTTGGTATTATATCATAATTTTTAATTATATGTTTATTTTTATATTTTCTGTTTTAATATAAATTTTAGTTTAATTTTTTGTACTTTTGTTGTGTTTTTGTCATTTATATTAGTTTTTGTTTTTTTACATGTGTATGCATTTTAGCACTTCAACATTCATATATATATATATATATATATACATATGTATTTTAGTTAGCAATAAAAACGCATTGGTTCTATTTTTATTTAACTATAATAACTCTGATGAAAAGCATTTTAAATCATTTTACAGAACAAGAGAACAATATACTCACATTGTTGTGCAAATATTAACAAGCATGAAGAAAAAGGCAGACAGCAGCTGAAGTATGGCCAAGCTGGGCTTCCGTCCGAATATATTTAACATGCCAATATTGAGGGGTATGACTGCAGAGGAAACACATGGAAAACATACATCAGCTTTCAACATTTGACTCAGCTGAGTATGTGAAACTGGGTCAAGTGAGAGGTCAAAGGTCACTCACGTGCCACCTCGCCCAAACAGCTGATGAGGAGAGTCTGGTAGTCAGCCATGTTGAATGGGATACAGTAACACAGCGCCTCCTCCTGGTTGTGTTTGATCTGGTGCTCTGCGTCAGCATCTGTCATACACAGAAGGTTCTTCTCCAGTAACTCTGAACTGCTTAGAACGGAGCCATAATAAGAGAAGGATGCCACAAACCTGTGGATGAACAATGTAGTACATCACACATCAAGCATACAAGCTGCACAGTAAACGAAAAGTGCATTTTTCACACACACACACACACACACACACACACACACACACACACACACACACACAAAACACCAAACAAACAAC